GGCCACGACCATCCGAGGGGAAACCATAGAGTTTTCCCTCGGATGACCGTGGCCCCGCCCCTAGCATGCCCAGTGTGGTCGCGTCACTTCCGGGTGATGTGCATGTCACGTACTTTGGGGGTGGGGTTTTCCCCAGGGCTCGATCCGCCGGTGGCGGGGAACGAGCCTCTGGGGCGGGGGTTTCTCCGCCCCCCGGGGGGACTTGGCAAGCCTACTTGCGGGGGGGGGGAGATCGTTGGTGGACGGTTGTAAAGAAAAAGGAGGGATTGGCTTGGGGAGAGAAAAAAAGTGGGAGGGGGTGAGGGAAGGAAGCAAAGGTGGGGGAATGCGTCCTCCCCACAAGTTTCTTGCGGGTCCACCCTTGTTTACCTAGGTTTGCAGCCCATCCAAAAAACATATTCCGTCTTTCCTTTCTCTGTGTTTTGTTGTTGTGGCTCTGCTGCCATCTGCTGGTGACACATCTTACAGTTCTGGAGAATGTGAAATGTGTCCGTTTCTCCTTGCACTCAAGCTTTGCTTGTTTTTCTGTTCCCTTGCTGAGTGGGAGTCTTGACACTCATTAGCCAGGTTGGCTTAACTTAATCTTTTCTTCTTTTTATGTTTTTTTTCCGGATGCCTCCAAACTTTTAATTTTGATGTGTTTTTTTTTCCTTTCCCCAAGCATATATATATGTTACTAGTAGCTTGGGAAACCATTGCTGTTCTGCATTCATTTAAATTTTGCAAGATAGATTTAAACACATCAGTTGTTTCAAAAGGAGATGAATGTGGCAGTGTATTGTTCTTTACTCCCTCTATGTTTCTTTTTGCTCGTAGCATAGCCATTGCTGCAAAGGAACATGGTTTTGGCACAGACTGTATTGCATTGTCGCCAAATGTGAAAGTAAATGTAGCTTTTAGCAGGATTTGATGTTTGAACTGCAGACCGCTGAAGGCCAGTAGTTCAGCAGTTCCAGACACTAGTGCCGCATGACGGAGTGAGCTCCCGTCTCTGGCCCCAGCTCAGGCCAACCTAGCAGTTCAAAAGCAAGAAATTGCAAGTAGATAAATAGGTACCACTTCAGTGGGAAGGTGACAGCATTCTGTGCGCCTCGGCGTTTAGTCATGCTGGCCACATGACCACGGAAATGTCTTTGGCCTGGAAACGCTGGCTCTTTGGCCTGGAAACAGAGATGTGCACCGCCCCCTAGAGTTGGATTTGACTGGCTTTCGAGCAAGGGCAACCTTTACCGTTACCTTTTACTTGTAGATATAGCCATGCCTTAACTTTGGAAAGAAGCTGAAAGACATACATTTTTATACATTTTCCCCTCAGGCAGATTCATTGGATAAGAAACTTGAATTGCAGAAGTGACTGTAAAACTTGAATGTGGCTAAACACCATGTAATATAACCATATGCACCCAATATTAAAGCAGAATTAATCTAATACATTGCAGCCTAAGCTTATGTTTCTTATGGCGCATCCTCAGCAGAATTATACCATTCTAAGCCCATTGATTTCAGAGGGTATACGCAGAAGATGGGATGACTGTTTTTATAAAGAAGGGCAGTGAATTTTGTATCTTTTATGTCAGTCCTTGTGGTCCTTCTATGACAGTTTGTTATGTGTTGTTGATGACGCTGCTTTTTATCTCATTGCAGAAGAATATGAAGAAGAAGGTAACCAAAACGCACCTGGAATGTACCTTCTCTTTCTCTGATCCCCTTATCTTCAACTCTATCCGTTTCTGTCATTCACCCATCTCTCTGTTATGGTCTGCTAAAGATGCTGTGGAATTCTACATGAAAATCCAGCATCTCAGTTTAGCATAAAACCTCAAGGCTGATTCACATGTGATGCTAAAGAGAAAATCTATGTTAAAGCCATATGACCACCTGATCGCTGACTGAATTCAGTCTTCAGTCCTCATCATTACAGAATTAGACCTGAATTTGCGATGGCAAAAATCTCAATACATTTTTTTAGGACTAAACCAGCTGTCAGTGGCACACTAAGTTAAATGTACAAATTGGTAATACAAGACAGGCAAACATGTATCATCTTGAGCTGACCAGTAACTGCTTGACAAACTGCTGAATATCAGTACAGGAGTATTCAAAAGATGGAGTTTAGAAAACACTCTTCCACACAGATTCATCACTGATGAGTTTATTGTAGATAGAATTTTGCGATGGGGGCTTCGTTGAGGCTGGCAGAATCCGAATGTTTAACAAGACTTCATGTCATATTCCTTATTAGTTGTCTGTATTCTGAAGTAATGGGATCGTACATCAGAACTTCTGCTGATGTATCTTCCTAATTCCATAAAATTAAAGTTAATTTTCTCGAAGCCTTGATTCGTTGTGCTTGGGAAAATCCCTAGAAAGGAATATACGGAGACCGTTCACAGATATATTTCGGGTATGCTGTAGCAGAGCTCTACTGGTAGCAGGAGCTCCTTTGCATATTAGGCCACACACCTCTAGTGTAGCCAATCCTCCAAGAGCTTACAGTGCCCCAGTAAGAAGAGCTCTGTAAACTCTTGGAGGATTGGCTACACTAGGGGGATGTGGCCTAATATGCAAAGGAGCTCTTGCTACCAGTAGAGCCCTGGCTGTAGGGCTATCTTTTGGCTATGCTCCTGCAGAGCGCAGGGGGTTGGACTAGATGACCTGCAAGGTCCCTTCCAACTCTAACATTCCATGATTCTATGATTCTAGGGTTGCCAGGTCTGGGTTGGAAAATACCTGGAGACTTTGGGGGTGGAGCCAGGAGAGGGCGGGGTTTGGGGAGGGGAGGGGCCTCAGCATGGTACAATGCCACAGAGTCCACCCTTCAAAGCAGCCATTTTCTCCAGGGGAGCTGATCTCTGTCAGCTGGAAAGCAGTTTTAAAAGCGGGAGATCCCCAGGCCTCACATGGAAGCTGGCAACCCTATATGATTCTATGATTCTGTATCCTGAAGACACAATGTGGAAACCAAAATTTTCATCCAGCTCCCTGAAAGACAGGGATTTACTCCCTTAGTGATGTCAGTCAGACTTGGCAGGGGCTACATCACTGTCCCCAGCAGGAAGGCCACACACACTAATGTCACTTCCTGACAGGTTTGGGCTTATCAAGATTTTAGCCCTCCAAAGCTATGTGAGAAATATGTGATTCTCCACACATGCCACTCATACAGGCTTCGTGTAGTATTATCTGTTGCCAAACAAACCCAGTTGTTAACACTGCTAGTAATAATACAAGAATGATACAATTGGGACAGAAATACCATGGTATTTAAAATGCCATGCAGCCTTTGGAGATCTGGATATCCTTACATGGCTACTGTGAGAACTAAAGAATGCTACTGATCAGTGCTCCCTCTAAGCTGTGGAGTCTTGTGAGCAAAAATTCTACTTTGTGAGCTACTAGCCTTAAAGTTGTGAGCAAGCAATTTGGCTCCTGTATAAATGAGTTTGCTCTGGAGCCATCCTTCCTGAGCTAAGACAAAAATGTGTGAGCTGGAGGCTAAAAACGGTGAGCTAGCTCACACCAACTCAGCTTAGAGGGAATACTGCTACTGATAGAAAACTGTGGGCAAACAACCTGGGTGCCCCGCCTAAGAGGCGGACTGGGGGGGGGGGGGGGGGGGAGGCATGGCTGTTTGCCCCGGAGCAAACTACTGTGCGGCAGCCAGATCAAACGTCCCGCCCAACGTCCCGTGGTTGGGGGGAGGTGCCGATCATACCTCACTCCTGCGGCACGGCAAAGAAGCAGCGCCGCGGGGGTTGTGTTTTTTTTTTTAACCCAAGTGTTCGCATGCGCCATTGGGTGCTTGTGCGCATCTGTGGAGACATGACAAAAAAAAACTTTTCACGACGGGACATGGGCAGGCACCAGATGCCACGACCTAACACCGGAAACGTGATCTGACGCCCACCCTTGCCTCGGAGGTACTAGTTTTTTTATAGCGCATCTTCGGAGTGAAGCCTCGGGTGAGCCTCGGGAGCTCTACGCTTCCCAGATGTGGCGGTGAGATCGCGCCCGGAAAATCCGCCTATCTTCCATCTCTCTAGTGTGCCTAATGCTCCGTGTGACCGGGGCCTATAACAGGCTATAAGAGTTAAATGCTTGTACATTAGTATTTCTTTATAAACAGCTGCCTTTCCTAAACCTCTACACAGTTTTTGAGTCAGTGTTGCCCCTGAAAAGCAGTCAAGAAAAATCCAATGTTTTCCGAGGGTCACTGTGAGTCGAAGCCCTTTTCAAACTCCATCTTCAGCCATTTGTCAAGCTTTCAGAGACATAACCAAGGGTCCTAACCTAATACAGGCAACCTGTCCCATTGAAGAAATATTCATTCCCCTTCGCTTCTTAGCTAACTTGGATGGAAAACAATAATTCCAATAACTGGGTGCTTTTCTTCACCTCTTAAATTTGCATGCGCTGTGTCCTCTGAGTGTGTTTTGTTTTATGTCCTTCTGATTTTTGGATTCACATGTTTGTCTGGCCTGTTTGTCTGGCCGTATCTGTCCTGTTCCAAGGTGGCTGATTCCTGTTTTACATGTTCTTTTTTAACCACTTCTTCCTCCCAGCCTTAGTTCACAACGTTTTGAAGGTTCTAACAAGTATTTCAATGTTATTGTCTCGTTTGTCTTTGCTTGTTGTGCCATGATGTTTCCCAACCAGAAGAAGTAGAAGAAGGTATGTGATGTCTCTGGGTTCATCTCTTTTCCTTTTCACAGAAGAGTGCTTTGCATAAAGGAATCCTGAGCTGGCGGGAGAAAAGGAACAAGAGAACATGAAATATTAACTCCAAAGGCTTGGTCCAATAGCACTAACATGAAAGAAAACATTTTCACTGCTGATACTGAGTTGCTGCTGCTGTTATCGCAGTTATATTGTGCATCCCCCCTGCCCCAATCTCCTTTCATTTGCTATATGTTGGCATGTTAAAAGACTGATTTTATAAAAAGGAACAACATGATATATTAATGTGAAATAACAATTGGGTCCGCTTCTCTTTAAATGTCAGAACTAGTTTGAGTATACTGAATTAGATCCCGTGGATCTGTTGCACTAACCGTAGAGCCAGTTTGGTGTAGTGGTTAAGTGCGCGGACTCTAATCTGGGAGAACCGGGTTTGATTCCCCACTCCTCCACTTGCACCTGGCTGGATGGCCTTGGGCAAGCTGTAGTTCTGATAAGAGCTGTTCTTGAAAAAGAGCCGTTTCTGACAGAGCTCTCTCAGCCTCACTTACCTCACAGGGTGTCTGTTGTGGGGAGGGGAAGGGAAAGAAGTTTGTAAGCCGCTCTGAGACACCTTTGGGTAGTGAAGGGCGGGGTATAAATCCAATCTCTTCTCTTCTCTTCTTCTCTGTCACAAAGAACCTTTCATTGATGGAAGAGCCTCCTGTATCAGGCGGGGGCAACTTCTGCCAAGGGAAAGTGGTGCCAGTAATGGAAGAGATCCATGGCATCCAACCCCCAAAATTCTAACAAAGCATGGGGCTTTAGGAAATTTTACCCAACCCTGTTAATGCATATGCATGCCTTTTTATCTGGCCACGCTCATCCCAACATTTCTGGTCAATACCAGTGCATCATTTCCATTCCACGTATATGTGATTATTTTTATTTGATCTACTGTCATCCCGAAATTCCTAATTTTCTTCTTGCAACCTTACTCACCTCAAACTGTTTGAGACTTCTGCCTTCCTATTCCTTGTTTTAATTTTTTTTATGTTTCCTTCTCTCCCCCCCCCTTTTGCAATGCTTCCTGCCTGAAGAAGTTCAAGAAGAAGGTATGTGCCTCTCAAGGCCTCACAGTTCTGATTGCTCAGTTGGAAGAGTTAATGGCACGTTGCATCTCTTAAGGGTGTGAAAGGGAAAGTCTGACCACCACCACTGTCATTAAAGATCACTGAATACAAAAAGGGGAAGCAGGTTAAAATCTTTGCAAAGTTGAAGACAGCAACATCCCCCTATATGTACTATTTTACCATCCCACATTATTGCAGAGTTTTTGGTTTGCAAGACTGAACATTATACCTACAATGGTTTTGCAAGGGAGATTTTTGAATAGGCCCTACACTGACAGAATTTGCCCTTGTGGCCTTAACAGGATTGATACGTCCTTTCATGCCCTGCTGGAATGCAGTTTTTTTTTAGATTAAGGAGTAAGGAGAGCCCCAATTCCTCGGCCGTCGCCTCGGAAGGGGCTCTCCTTGCACTCCAGGCCAGGAGTCCCCTACAAGGACTCGGGGGGGGGGGCAGACCCATCCGGGACCCCTCCTGTCCACTGTGCCTCGGCGCATCCCCATCAGAGCTCGATGGGACACGTCCAACCTATGAGTCGCCAAAACCGGAACCCTGCAAGGGAGATTTTTGAATAGGCCCTACACTGACAGAATTTGCCCTTGTGGTCTTAACAGGATTGATACATCCTTTCATGCCCTACTGGAATGCAATTTTTTTGAGATTATGAGGGATTACCATATTAAGCCTTTATTCAACCAATTGTCCCCCTATACTCCAGAAAACCTGGCTCTTTTGCTCAGTGATAAGGATCCTGTGATCGCTTTAGCAATCACAAAATTTGTCTCAGGCCTTTTAGCCCTGGCATCTAAAAAAATATGAAATAAGTGTTTTCTGCTGCTCAAGATTTGTGAATCACTGAGCTTCTAAAGGTACAAAAGGAAAGGAAAGAAGACAACAGCCATTAACTTGTAAGACTATGGGCCTTAAGCCATTCAGACTCAATTAGTTCATTTTTCCTGACTTCAACTGAATTATTTATGGGTTAAGAATAAAATACCTGAGAGACAGAACTAAATGGATATGTATTCATGTGGCCCATCCTTCCCTTCTATGGCCCTTCCTTTGACCCAGCAGTTTTGACCATTAGTTTATATGAGGACCAATTCCAATGTAATTTTTGAGAAATTCATGTGGAAGAATATAAACAGAAAGCATCACATTGGAAAGAAGAGTCCACAACTGTTTTTCTTTTCAGCGTGACAACTTCCACATGCATTTATGTATGAAAGAGATTGTCAGAATGACAAGAAGTTACATGGGATTTAGGATTAGCCGTTTCGTGGGAGCCTCCATGAGCTTTTGCAAAATAGGTCTCATATTTTGATTATACGAATGTGAAGCCATATCAATGACCAGATTGCCCTCTTACCCTGGGGAGAAAATATATCTTCTGTATCAGTATGACAACGATGCAGGAGGACTTTACCACATAACAGACACAGATGTGAGGAAAACTCATGAAGACTCATGAAAAGTAGAAGTTCAGTGAAAGTTAGAGATGGAAGCAGAGCAACAAATGAGAAATGCTATTGATTACTGAGTGAGAGAGACCTGTGTAGACCTCATCTACTATCTGCCAGTTATTAAAAATATGGTACAAATAAGTTTGCTGAAATTCAAGGGCTCATCTAGGTCCCATAGGAACATATTAGCTGTCCTTACATGTGAAGGAAGTGGGTAGTAGCTTTCACCCAAAAGAATGGGGCGGCGGGGGAGGGAATAGCGAAGAAGCAGCTCTCCCCCAGGGACACCCATGTCCCAAGTTGTGTGGTACTTTGTGTCATTTGTAAGAGTAGGTGGGAGATGTATTGTATCTCTGGCATGTATGAATTATGGGAACTGGGTCTATTCAGGGGGATCCTGGATCCTAATATGTACAGACATGCCCTAGAAAGAATGCAACAGTTTTGCAAACAAAGCCTTTAGCAATTCGCGGCTTACAAATAATCTGCAGGTTTTGAAAGCTTTACATTTTCTTCTCTGCGTTTGCATGCTCCCGCACCCATCTCTTTACTCTACAAGGTCCTCTGTTTGCCTGTACAGATTTAATCACTCCATGCTCTTTATTTAAATGCGTTAATTGGTTTTCCTGTAATGAGCTGGTTTCTTTCTCAGTGCTGATTTTAATTACTGCCACATTGTTGTGAATTCCTTGCCTTTTTGCCTCTAACATAATTGTTTTCTGTTGCCTCAATCTTGTTCTATGATACTTCCCACCTGGTGAAGTTCATGAACCAGGTATGTGACTTGACGTCTGGATTGTTCTTTTTCCATCTCATATGAGTGTGTGTGCAGCAATTCAAAGGTGATGGAAAAGAACCGGAGAGCAACACATTACCTTAACATTTAGGTTTGCTTTCATTGATAGACCCTTTTCACATGCTTGTTTTTTGGATTAACAAAGGGATAATTATCATGCATGAACACCATAAAGCCTTCTCCCGTCTAAGGTCCAGATGCTTAGCGTATGTCAGCTAGAACTTCTCCACTGACTTCAGTGACCTTATGGATGTAACCAAGCTGAGAATTTGCTGTGGACAACATTCTGTCAAGCACAGTAGATCCAACACACTGTAGCTGAGACTTACCCATGGGAATTTCTGCTCCAATTACATTACCTTTGTGATTTTCTTTTGGACCATACTTTAAAATCTATATACCCTTCTTCCACATTAATGTATCTGTTGTTCACATGACTGAAGAAGGGGATGTTAAGAATATTGCATAGTCATCAAGACCATGTCATATTCTCTGTCATATTCTCAGCCCTGGCTCATGCAAACTTTGTCACTGAAGATGTGTAATTTCAGAACAGCTGACGCCAATCGAAAACTTATTGGCCTTCTGGTTAAACAGCAAGGATATCCCAATCTGTGTATCTATATTTTTGTGGGAAAATAAATAGGAGAATTCTAATGATATAGACATTGTCTGCCCTATGCCTGGGTCTCAAGGTTAATCAGCCATGCATTGTTGGTCGTGAAAACTGCTGTCAAGTCTTGGCCAACTTGTGGTGAACCCATAGAGTTTTCAAGGCAGGAGATGACCAGAGGTCATTTGCTATTGCCTGCCTTTGTGTAGCAACCCTGGACTTCCTTGATGGTCTCCCATCCACGTACTAACCAGGGCCGACCCTGTTTATCTTCTGAGCTCTGACAAGATTGGGGTAACCTGGGCCATCCAGATTAAGGCAGCCATATATGACCAACAAATATAGGGTCAGATCATATGGACAGCCAGAACACCTTCCCCTTCTCCCAGCAACATGCTGTGACCCTCCTGCAGCTGATGCTGAGGTTTAAGGGACCCTATATGCAAGATGTCCCATGATCTGGGGAGATGCAGTAAGGAGGGGGAGATCACTAATAAGAACATAAGAAGAGCCCTGCTGGTTCAGACCAGTGGTACATCTAGTCCAGCATCCTGTCTCACACAGTGGCCAACCAGTTACTCTGGAGGGCCAACAAAAGGGCACAGAGGCCGAGGCCTTCATAAGAACACCAGAAGAGCCCTGCTGGTTCAGACCAGTGGTCCCTCTAGTCCAGCATCCTGTCTCACACAGTGGCCAACCAGTTACTCTGGAGGGCCAACAACAGGGCACAGAGGCCGAGGCCTTCATAAGAACACCAGAAGAGCCCTGCTGGTTCACACCAGTGGTCCCTCTAGTCCAGCATCCTGTCTCACACAGTGGCCAACCAGTTACTCTGGAGGGCCAACAACAGGGCACAGAGGCCGAGGCCTTCATAAGAACACCAGAAGAGCCCTGCTGGTTCACACCAGTGGTCCCTCTAGTCCAGCATCCTGTCTCACACAGTGGCCAACCAGTTACTCTGGAGGGCCAACAACAGGGCACAGAGGCCGAGGCCTTCATAAGAACACCAGAAGAGCCCTGCTGGTTCAGACCAGTGGTACATTTGGTCCAGCATCCTGTCTCACACAGTGGCCAGCCAGTTCCTCTGGAGCGGCAACAAAAGGGCCACTGTCTTATGCTAGCTGAGGAAGCTCAGTGGAGCATATCTCTGCTAACGCAACGTGGAGGGGGCAGTTCTGCCCAGTTCATCCTCCTCACTGCAGCTGCCTTTGCCATGTGGCATGTTTTCCCCACGAGGACCATCTTTCCCTTTCCCCTTGCCGTCAAAGAGTGCCATCAGTTGATAGTTTTACCCAAAGATATAATGAGAACAGAATTAGGCCAAGTTCTTTTGTTGAATAATCACTCCTTGGCATTCACAGATAGTTAGCATACAGTAACTGATCCTTAAGAATGTAGGTTGTCCTGTGCATTTAGCATAGGGATCCCAAGTCCCCCCGGGGGGCGGGAAAACCCCCGCCCCAGAGGCTCGTTCCCTGGCACCGCCGGATTGGGTCCCGGGGAGAACTCCGCCCCGACGTGCGCGTCACCTGGAAGTGACGGGAGGACACCAGGCATGCTGGGGGCGGGGCCACGGCCATCCAAGGGAAAACTCTATGGTTTTCCCTTGGATGGCCTTGGCCCCACCCCCAGCATGCCTGGCGCCCTCCCGTCACTTGAGGGTGACGTGTGTGCGGCGCGCACGCACCAGATGCCGGCCGGGAGCCCCCCGCTCCCGGTGAAGATCCACTTGGCAACCCTAATTTAGCATAACAGTTACTCTTTCTTTATAAAGTCTGGATAAAGTTTATTATCGACAGATATATCTTGGATAAAGTTTATATCAACAGATAAGATCCTTGTGTACAACATTAATAGCTTGTATATTTTTATAGTGTGAAAAGTATATCATGTTCATTAGACTGTGAGCTGACGGGCAGGAATCCTTTATGTTACTCTGTTCCTGGTGCCCACTTATACTTTTAGAAGTGCTAAATGGTCATGATTATGCTTTTGTATCTCTATAAGAAGAATATTTAGCTTTAAGATATTATTTGCCTGGCATAGGGGTGCAATGTCCTTGCTGCGATAGATAATATTTGCAGTGAGTTCTATATAATTCAGAAAAGCATGAATAATTATAAAGTATCACATGAAAGGTAGTATAATGTTATACAAAACATGTGATATTTGTTTGCATGTTCCTCAGTCACCTGTTGCTTCATATATGCATGCTGTCATCTTTGTCCCCTTCTTTTCATTTTAAACTGATTATTAATTTGCTTTCCCTCTTAACCTATTTATAAATTATCTATTTCAACCTTAACTTGAGAAAGTTCAAGGTTGTAACAATCCTCTATTTCTTTAACTGTCTTGTCTTCCTTTTCCCCTATTGACATTTCCCACCTCATGAAGTTCATGAACCAGGTATGTGACATGACTTCTGAATTCCACTGATTTTCTTAAGGGTTAATGTGTGCACAGGAATTCAAAGGTGGAGCAAGGAAAACAGGAGATAACAATAACTTAACTCTTGCTTGGTTTTTAATTGTAGTCCTATAACCTTCTTTATTTGAAAATAATGTGATTTAACATCCTTTACATCTAAGAATTGGGAGTGGGATAAAATACATAGTAGAGAGGTATCTGCAGAAGAGAGGAGGGAAAAGCACAGAATTTTCTTAAGTGGACGGCTAGTGGAGGAGTTTTGCAGAATCAGGAAAGAATCAGGAAAGATCTGGACTAAGGAGATCCTGATAGGCGGTTTCAATGCATCTGCAGTTATATTCTCATTTTATTCTGGCACATATAGATTCAGAATCAAGTCTCTCAAGCCAATATGATGGACATATTTGAAGTGCAATTTGATCTACCGATGTGAAAAGAATACTGCAATATAACAAATCATATTTATTCTTGTTGTTAGAATAAATAAACTGAAATCTGCTGCATAACCATGACATTTTATTACTAGCTTATTTGCATGCCTGGGTACTAAAATATTAAAAGTAGAGCAGTAGGTACCCTGAAATTAACCGTGAAATTAACCATGCAGATTTGTGAACATTTCTAGCCCTCTTTGTTCAAAGTACGAAACCCTAGCCCATGAAAAGCAACATAAAGACATGTAGCTTTACACCTCATACTGCACACTGATCGTAAAATAAACTAGTGACGCACCCAGGGAAAAAGAAACGGAAAGAAATGCAATCATTTCTGAAGTTCTTTGTTCCTTGGAGTCCCTTTTGGTCCTGCTATTGCTGTACTCTAGATGAATGAAATCCTTTTTAATTTCCCCCCAGGATCTATGTTTAAATTATAATAGCCATCAATCCTCTTGGGTTTTTGCCCAGATGATGCATCACGTACATCATTCATCTACATGCCCTGGTGAAATCCATTCACCACCATATCCTTCCTACCTGGCTGCATTTACATGTCCCTTTAAATGCTATTGATTTGCTTCCCCTTTGATTATTGATCTGCCCTATTACCCTCTTTCCTCTCCTGTCACTTTCCAGACTCACAAAGAAATGTTCAAGACCTTGTCATTAACATGTCCCTCTTGTTTCCATTCTCTCGCTCCCTACTGCATCTTGTTTTCATTCTCTTGCTGTCCACTACATCTTGCTCCATGATACCACTCAACCGATGAAGCTCCTGAACCAGGTATGTGAGACAACTTCCAAAATCCTCATATTACCTCTGACGTGTGCAGAGAATACATGAGTGCATGAATTGGACGTTGGAAGAGAAGGAACGAGATAAACAATTCCTATTAATAAACTATCATTTAACAATATGTTCTCGAAGGCTTTCACGGCCGGAGCTCATTCGTTGCTGTAGATTTTCCGGGTTGTGTGGCCGTGGTCTTGGCATTGTAGAACCTGACGTTTCGCCAGTAACTGTGACTGGCATCCTCAGAGGTATAAACACCCAGGAGCATATTTGAAAATCAATAAAAAATATGTAAAAGAAAAAAGAAAGTTGCCTGAGGCGTCCGCTTTTCGCCCACCATTTTTAAAAATGCATCGGCAGTACACGCTCCGCCTCCACATTTATAAAACCGACATTTAAACGGTCTCTAATTTTAGCACTTAGATGAATTCGGGATCTCACAGAGACCATTTTCTGGTCAAAAGAAGAACCTCCTCAGGAAAGCTCCTCCATTAGCATGTCCATAGCCTGGGGAACTCCTACAAGACAATGACTCAGCCCCACCCACCTTCTGGAGTAGATATAAATTAGCTGCCTACCATTTTCTTCTCACCTTGACACAGAGAGTACTCCATCTTTCTGTGTTATACCTCTGAGGATGCCAGTCACAGCTGCTGGCGAAACGTCAGGTTCTACAATGCCAAGACCATGGCCACACATCCCGGAAAATCTACAGCAACTAATATCACTTAACCGCTTGTTTCCTTCTAATGTTTCACACTCACAGCTGCTTTAACTTGTTGCTATTTTTTTCATACCCTTACAGTTTCCTCTGGTGCCTATGCTGCAGTATTCTTGTTCTTGTCTTTAGAATCACTGCCTCTATTTTTTTCCCCCTGTACCCATTCCTTGTCTACCTCATTAGGTTCAAAATGTTTACAGACATATTCTTTTTTCGCCCTTTTCATTCTCTCCTCTCATTACTGTTTGCTTCCACTATGACTCTTCTGGAAGAAACCCATGAAGAAGGTATGTGCTGTGAGCCCACAGAACCCTTTCTTTCCTTTTTTTCTACAGCAGGAGGAATAATGCTCAAAAAATATTTGAGGAATCAGGCAACTTTAGAATGTGAGTTTCTGCTTTGCATAGTTCTGGATGCACACGGGTCAATACTGCGTGGCGAAAACACATATGAAAAAAGGGCCCATAGAAATTCAAACGGAAGAATGCGGCTGCAGATTTGTGACAAGGATTTTTTGTTGCCTTATGTGACTACTGAATGTTTTCGAGTACGTTGTTATTTCCAGAGGGTGTATTGATTCAGGCTTTGTGTTAGCAGTAAAAGTTTAGAGGACCAAAACGATTATGAAGTGGACGGAGGAAAGAAAGGAAAGAGCACAAAATTGAGTGAGAAGGTTTCTACAAAGGCCCTGTCCACATGAGGGGTTTTGGGCCGGGAGTGGGCCGGATCGGGGCCGGAGCAAATGGGCGCGATCCCACTGCAACATCTGGGCAGCGTTGCGCACCCGTCCCCGATCCGGCCCTTCCCCCGAAGAGACGCATCAAAAATGAACCACCTACCGAGGTGGTTCATCCACGAAGGCCGCATCAAGGCCGGCTGTGGGATCACCGGCCCGTCTTTCTGCCGGCGCATCCCCGGCTCCTGCCTGAACTGCACATGCTCAGACATGCGCAGTTCGGCAGTCTCCCGTTCCCCTCCATCGCTTCCCCCAACATCTGATCGTGCCGGGGAGGGAATGCGCCGTGGCTCAGGGGATCAATGTGATCCCGCCACGGCGTGTTTCTTTTGGTGCGGCTTTCAAAAGCCGCACTTCAGCCCGTCCCTTTCCCCCCCGTGTGGCAGGGGCCTAAGTTTCACTCTAGATATGAAGGTTACCTGTTTGAATATACTCAGAGATATACTAGAGAATTTACAGTGCAAACTTATGCAGGGCTACTCAAATATTAAAACTTTAGCGCAGCATCTGAGATGGCTAGAACAAACTCAAACGCTATCCTTAGATATTTCTTTTCGGGGGGGGGGGGGGTCAGTATGTACCGATGGCCATAGCAGCATTCAATTCTAAAGTAACTTCTCAGATTTTATTTGGGGTCGCTATTTGGATTAATGCAGTTTCTGAATCTCTCGATCGTATACTACTCTATTTTTTGCGTAGAATGGCTGGGGTTCCTAGATGTGTGGTTGGCACTACACTTAGAGTGGAATTTGCCCAATATCCCTTGGAGTCTAGAGCCTTGATCACAACTTTCAAACTGAGACTCAAAATCCTTTACTCAGCACTAAATGCCCAAAGTGGCCTTCTATGTTTGGTAAAGGAGGACAACAACAAAGGTAGCTGGGAAAGGTATCTAGATGCTAGACTTGAGTTATTGGGCTTTCCTTCAACAGTATGGAATAATCTAATTTATCAGGAAGCCCTAAAGCAGACCAGAATAAAAGTGATTAATCTCGATCGGGCTAGTACTATGTTCCACTCTTGCCTTGGGTATTCCTCCTCTGGAATCTCTTCCTCCATATACTAGATCCCTAAAAATACCTAGCTATAGATGTGTTTTCACTCTTGCTAGGCTTAACTCTTCCCCCACTGCTGAGTTAACAGGTCGCTTTTCTAAAGTCCCATACTCGGATCGCTTATGTAACTGTGAGACTGGAGCTGTGGAAACACTTGGCCATCTTCTATTATTATGTCATCAGCAATGTTCCCTCTAAGCTTTGGAGTCCTGTGAGCAAAAATTCTACTTTGTGAGCTGCTGGCATTAAAGTTGTGAGCGAGCGATTTAGTTACTGCATAAATTAGTCTGCTCTGGAGCCCTCCTTCCTGAGCTAAAACAATAATCTGTGAGCTGGAGGCTAAAGAACTGTGAGCTAGTTCACACTAACTCAGCTTAGAGGGAACACTGGTCATCAGTGGTCGACTCCTAGATTGATTTGGATCACTCCAGTTCTTACCAAACACCGATTACCTACTGAACTCTGGGTGGTCCCCTATCTGTTGGCAGATACTAATCCTGAAACCACTTATTCTGTTACTAAATTTTTAATGATAGTTTTATCTGTAAAGCGACAAAAATCTGGCTTGACCCAACTGTAACAGAATTTGGTATGCACCCAGCTGCTATGATTTAAATGAATATTTAAATGAATTATAGTTTAACATTTTAGATCTTTTAGACTTGATTACTTCGACTGTAAACTTTTATTGTAAAGTGCGTATTATGAGGCTAATATTGTATATTCATCTTTTACAATTGAGCTTAAGACCTTTGGTCATGGAAGCTAATGAACATAAGTAAGTAAACTTTAGCTTCAGTTGGCATAACACTGCATAGGACTGCACTGCTAAACCAGTGCAAAGAACCAACGTCTAGCTTCTGTTATGCCTCAGAAGGCTTTGGCCTTGTATTTCCTAGGCAATACCCTTTCCCTCCAGGACATGCGGCAATCAGTTTTGAAACTGAGGGTAAAGTCAGCTGGTTATCTGACTTGATAGCCTATTCATAGGAATAAAGTAAAAAATCATACTAGCCTAGGCTTGCCAAGCCCCGCTGGGGGCGGGTAAATTCCCGCCCAGGAGGCCCGTTACCCTCCGGCGTTGGATCGGGCCCCGGGGGGAACTCCACCCCCTGCCAGAGGGCGTCCCCAGCATGATGATGTCACCCGGAGGTGACAGCCAATGGGCTGATAGTATAAAGCAGCCTAAGGTGTCCACTACTGTAATATGTTCAGTGGTTATTATCCAGGATCTTCAGACCCCCAATATCTTAGTTACCAGCCAATATTCTCTCACATTTTCAGTGGAAACATTATCTCAGGGAAAATTCATATAATTTGGGGTGGCTTTTTTGTTTTAGTTGTTGTTGTTGTTGTTGTTGTTTTACTCCATTCAAGCAGTCTTAGTTGTCTTGTGGTACACAATCTGCAAATCAGTTTCGAGTGGGATCATAGGAAACCTAGGTACGACCAACCACTTCGCCCCTGTTATTCCTCTTTGTTTTGATAGCATTGAAATGGATGGTTTTAGTTACTAGAAGAGGGGAAGCCGGGGAGAGAAGAAGAGAAATAGAACACTGGATCAAATGGTTGACAAATATTGGTAGCACATTGTCTGGGTTTTTTTCCTTTGATTTTCATCTGCAGCTGGAGAAGGAGAATATTGTGATTTTGGCATCATTTGAAGAGATCCTCAGTTCTTACACACACACACAAACATACACCCACTCTTACTTCTAATTTTTACATAATGCAATATCAGAAAACTGGACCAAATAATCATGTTTGCAAATGAACAACCCTTTTGTGCCACCGTATTGTTGTGAATAGGCCACAGCTCCTTTTCTTTGCTTCGGCCAGACAGGTTTTCAAACTACCAGACCTTCCTCCCCAGCATACCAGCTCAAATATCTGAAGTAATTCCTTGCAGATATAAATTAACAAGATCATTCATGTCATCAGCCTTATTAGAGATCTGAGATTTTCCAGTGGAGATGACTACTGGGTAAAATATCAGCTTTTCTTACTGATGACTTTTGAACTTCTCTAAATTTCAGATTCTTAAGGGAGACTGCAAGACTGTTGGACATGAGATCGCCAACACCTTTTCCTTTCAAAAACTTATCCTTAATTCCATCCTTTTTCCCCTTATTTTAGACAAAGCACAGGAGGATTCCTTCATTTGGCAACATCATTGTGGGATTATGTTTTATAGAACCAAGAACAAGGGGAATATGAGTTATAGTAAGGTGCATCACAAGAAGGAATTTTGTTATAGTGATCCTATTTTTCTTAGTTCCTTGGTGATTGAACCACCTTAAATAAGTCCTAAATTTGGACATTTCTCTTTGCATAAACTACATCTTGTGTTGTTGTGCACGTGAATATCTTGTTTTAATTGGGGGAAAAAAAACTATAACAAAATCCTGCCAGTACGTAAACATAGCTTTTTATTCCAGGATCAGAAAGCTAACTTTGTACTCCCTTCATTCCATGGTAACATTAAAGTAATACCAAAAAATGGATACCTGAACTTCTGATGTATTTCTTTTGGCCAACAGCATCTGTTTGTTAATTGTAGAGTCGAATGTGAAATAAACAGTACATCTCACAACAAACACTAATTTTTAAAATGTTCTCTACAGTGATGTGCCGTGCAGTCCTAAACAGACGTACACCCTTCTGAGTCCATGGAAGTCAGACTCAGTGGGCTTAGATAGGTGTAACTCTCCTTGGGACTGGATTGATATGGTACTAATCTGAAGTTTGTGGTAAATAGCAATAAGTTATTCCTAGATGTAAAGGACTGAGAGGAAGAGAATATTGTGTGTCTCTGAAATGAAATGATGTTTGGTGTGGGTTGTGTTTTCATCCCCTGCATTCCTCAATGTAATTTGGTGCAAAAGCTTGTGGTTTAATGAGTGAGATTTTTTTTTTTTGGGTACTCACAATATATTAAGGGAATAACAGAACTCATTCAAATTCATAGAGAAAGAAACTCTTTTTCAGATTAATGTAGCAACACAAATCACTTACTGGGTTCCATAGACAATGCAGTGATGCTGCTATTTTGTACTAGAATCTCAAGTAAAATCCTATCAGATCGACATAATTCTAAAGAAGTGTGGTTAAGGTAGACTTGAAGCAAGCAAGCAAAAAAAAAAAGCACATAAATCATTCAAAGGAATTTTGTTAACAGACTGGTAAGATGGAGGGAAACAGAAAAAGACCATGGGAGATTATTTAAAAAGATAGAAAAACAAAAGAGAAAGCCGAGAATGTGAATTATTGCCATCTAGCACAAAACAGTTGAGTCAGAAGAGCAAATACATTCATCTAACACCATTCATCAACCCATCCTTCCCCCGTAGTTGTATTTTGACATTACTTTGCTATCTTTCCCCCTCCCTCAATATGTGGCATTCTTTTGGATAGCCCCCCATGCTGACCTCAGTTGAGATAATTCTTCTGTTGAACTAATCACCCAAACACAGTCATTCCCAAGGTCCTTATTTTTCTGTGTAGAACGTTGGGGCAACTTCTATTCAACTGCATAACCTTAAAAAGCAAAAGCCACGTAAAGCCTTTTTCTTTTTTCAGTCCAGCCCCCAAAAAATCATAAAACAGAGATCAACTTACTCAGTCCTCTAAAAGCGCTTCACCAGACTGGATATTTTAAAATCTTTTTTATTTTAAGGCTTTGTAATTGAAATCTGCCTTTGATGAGGATGGTGAGCAGAGGCAAAACGTTGTCTGGAACATTATCACTCCTGCAAAACCACTGCAAAACTACCGCCTGCCCAGAACTTTATTACCACTGCAAAAAAAACAACAACCAAACAAAAAACAAAAAAACAAAAAAAAACCCCACAAACACAAATGGTACTGGACTGGAAAAAGTGACATAACTTTTCAGTCTGTTCTTCAAATTGGTGAATTACCTTGTGAATTCAAAGACAGGAGGGTTCATCAGGGCCTAAAATGGAACCTGGGTTAATAGGCTGTTAATTTTTTAATTACTAAAGTCTTATTATTATTAATTAATTATTATTTATTAATTTTGATTTCTATCCCGCCTTGCCTGACAAGCAGGGTCAAGGCAGCGTACAATAATAATTTACAATAAAACAAATAAAATTCAACAATAAAATATAAAGTGCAGATTAAATACAAACGATAAAGTGCAGATGGAGATCGTTGTAGTTGGCCCCGTATGACTAGCCCAAAGAAAGTGCCAGTAATAGATGTTCAGTAGCTCGTTCAGTGACGGCTCCTAATCGTAAGCCTGGTGGAAGAACTCTGTTTTACACCCTGTGGAACTGTAAGAGGTCCCGCAGGGCCCTGATGTCCTCCGGGAGCTCATTCCACCAATATGGAGCTGCCACTGAGAAGGCCCTGGCTCTGGTAATAGCCAGTCTGGCATCCTTGGGGCCAGGGACAGTCAGGCGATTTTGAGTCCCCAACCTCAGTGCTCTCTGGGGAATGTGTGGGACTGACTACAACCCCCTGCCCCAGCAGAGAAAGGAAACATTTTATGAGAGAATCTTTTAAATTCATGCTTAGCATTTGTTTACAAAAGACCCCAGGAATTGAACATTAGAACTAATGGGATATTACTACCTTCCAGTGCTATGTTGAAATATATATGAAAGCTTGTTTCATTTTTTACATCATGTTTTAACTGCTAAGTAATACTGGTCTGTTGCACACTGTACCTTTACGGTGTCTCAGGAGTATAGCCAGAGAAACTTAACATTCATTGTCTGTTTTTAGCAAACCAGATTGAGATTTATTTCCTGGCTGTTTTAGCATTTTCTTTCTCTTCTCCCCTTGCCTTCTGTTTCTTCCTGCATTCCGATATGTAGAAAAGAAGCCCAGAGTACCAACGTAAGTAAAATACCTGTTGCTGGCATGATTCTTATTTTTCAAATAATAAATCAGTGCCAACCAGATGCACGATTTACACATTTGGTTGGCTGCATATCCGTGTCATGCCCTTGATGGTATATATGAAACATTAGAAATGCAGCAAACATACGGACATAAGAGAAGCCAATATTGGATCAGGCCAATGGTCCATCAAGTCCAACAATCTGTCACGCAGTGGCCAAAAAAATACCAGGTGCCATCAGGAGGTCCAGCAGTGCCCTCTCCCCCAATGTAGAATCACCACACACCCAATTGGAGGTACATGTTCAGGTTATTCATAACCACTTTTACAGCGGCAACAGTGTCCTTGGCACTTAAATTTGCAGAACTGTCTCAGTTCATGCTGCGAGAAAAAGATGCCAGAGTTAATAAGCCGCAAAGATGGGTGGATGGTGGTGGAAAGAATTAAAACACATACTTTCCCCTGGACAGACTTTGTGCAAAAGGAGCCTTTGATAAGGGATTTAATGGGGGGAAAGGACATGGTGATGGAGAGAGGATATTGCAGGAGTGTAGAGTGGGTGAAGAGGACCTTAAGAGCCTCTTGCTCAGGGTAAAAGAGGAGAGCGCAAAAGTGGGCTTGAAGCGCAACATCAAAAAAACTAAGATCATGGCCTCCGGCCCCATCACTCCTTGGCAAATAGAAGGGGAAGTCGTGGAAGTAGTGACAGACTTCACGTTCCTGGGATCCCAGATCACCGCAGACTGTGACAGCAGCCATGAAATTAAAAGGCGCCTGCTCCTTGGGAGGAAAGCGATGGCGAACCTAAACAGCATGATAAAAAGTAGAGACATCACCCTGCCAACAAACGTCCACATGGTCAAAGCAATGGTATTCCCAGTAGTCATGTATGGCTGCGAGAGTTGAACTATAAGGAAGGCCGAGCGCCGAAGAATAGATTCTTTTGAACTATGGTGCTGGAGAAGACTCTTGAGAGTCCCTTGGACTGCAAGAAGATCAAATCAGTCAATCCGAAAAGAAATCAACCCTGACTGTTCTCTGGAAGGCCAGATAGTGAAACTGAAGCTAAAATACTTTGGCCACCAAATGAGAAGGGAGCACTCACTGGAGAAGACCCTGATGCTGGGAAGGATTGAAGGTCAAAGATGACGGGGACGGCAAAGGATGAGATGGTTAGACATGCAACGAACATGAAGCTGAACAAACTTCAGAGGATGGCGGAAGACAGGAAGGCCTGGCATGATCTGGTCCATGGGGTTGCAAAGAGTCGGACTCGACTGTGTGACTGAACAACAGCAAAAGCATTAAAGTTGTGAGCGAGCGATATAGCTACTGCATAATTTAGTTTGCACTGGAGCCATCCCTTCCTGAGCTAAGACAAAAATGTGTGAGCCAGAGGCTAAAAAACTGTGAGCTGGCTCACACTAACTCAGTTTAGAGGGAAGACTGATTACAACTATACATTATGTACATGATAGCATAGGCTTCTGTCCAGCAGGGGATTTCTACGATCAGAAAGGGAGTGATTTTCACCGAATCTCCTATTTACACCTCTGACTCCTCCTTTATGTCACCCAGGAGCAGCATTTCAGAAGTCATTTGGCACTGCAGCGGGAGGGGGAATGTGAGGAAGCTACGCTTCACTTACAGAAATCCTTTTCATCAGCTCTATATCCATGCCACTATGAACAATAGTTTCAACACCATGTTAGCAGGCTATGGTGTGAGTGACAGAGCTAGGGGATGAGTAAGCCACATATAAAAAAACAGATCACTCGAGCATGATGTTCATTTCTGAACAACAGGTCAATGACAGCTGTGAGCCTGTCTGGTTTATTCAGGCATGAAGTTTTATAGCAGGTTAAGTGAGCATTTATCAGTTACTTGTGAGGATTATGTCACAGAAAACCAGTTCATATGGTAGGAGCATGTAGCATAAACGGCCGCTACTACAGGCCGTTACTGCAGGCCCCTATTGCAGGCCGTTACTGCAGAGCTTGGTCTGTGGTTTTAACATCTGATTATGAGCAGAAACATCGTGGAACATCTGGGCAGTGGAAATTTACTATAGCAATATACCATCTAGGTTAATTTAACAGCCACCAGCGCTTTGTATTTATAATGTTTTTATTGTATGGTTAAATATTGTGTAATTTTAATGTATTTATGCTTTTATGGAAGCTGCCCTGAGCCAGTTTGGTGTCATGGTTAAGTGTGCGGACTCTAATCTGGGAGAACTGGGTTTGATTCCCCACTCCTCCACTTGCATCTGGCTGGATGACCTTGGGCAAGCCATAGTTCTGATAAGAGCTGTTCTTGAAAAAGAGCAGTTTCTGTCAAGAGCTCTCTGAGCCCCACCTACCTCACAGGGTGTCTGTTGTGGGGAGGGGAAGGGAAAGGAGTTTGTAAGCCGCTCTGAGACACCTCTGGGTAGTGAAGGGCGGGGTATAAATCCAATCTCTTCTCTTCTCCTACCAATAGCCCAGACCTAAAAGAATCCATTTTCTGTGCTGGGAAGACCATGCCCTCCAGAACAAACAGTCCAACTCTTTGTCGTCGTGTTCATCTTATAAGTCTTTAAGAGATGTGTTGTCAGCATTGCAGCACAATTTCATTTCCCCCAGTTTAATGCCCAAGATCAAATTGATGGCTCAGTTAAAAAATATACACTCCACCTATCTAATGGGAGGAGAATTTGGTTTTTCAGCCCGTTTGAGTTTGATATCCTAGCTCAAAGAGGTCACAACATATTTTTCCCTAACTGGTGTTAAATCAAGCTTGGGTTTAAGGTACGCTTTCTTGTGAACAACAGTTCTGAGAATATTTACCACTGGAGTTTTTATGCCTTTATCTTTCTCTCACTTGCCTAGGCTGACTGCACCTAAAATCCCAGAGGGTGAGAAAGTAGACTTTGATGTGAGTATAACTGGCTCCTATCAAATATATAGGATTACCCAGGGCTATTTTTGGGCAGGAACGCACAGGAATGGAGTTCTGGCTGGTTCCCAAGTTGGCCACACCCAGAAGGAACTCATTAGCATAATAGGCCACACCCAACAGCAGAAACTCATTAGGATTGGCTACATTAGGGGTGTGTGGCCTAACATTCAAAGGAGTTCCTGCTACAAAAAAAGCCCTGAGTTTTGACCACAAACAAGGTAAACAGAATAAGAAGCAAAAGGTGGGTGTGGCTGGATGAGCACACTTCTGGTAACATGGGGGTGTGGCCTAATATGCCAATGAGCTGTGCTGTCAGGGGTGTGGCCTAACATGCCAATAAATTTCTGCTGTTGGGTGTGGCCTATTATGCTAATGAGTTCCTGCTGGGCTTTTTCTACAAAAAAGCCCTGGGATTACCAGATTTCTCCAAACTTTCAAAATACTTCAGCTAAGAGGGTTAAAATACTGGAATCCCACCCCTGCACATTACCTAATCAAGCATCACACAAGGAAATAAGTTTTTGGGACGTTTAATAAAAGATAATATGAAAGGATCTGTACAGCCAACGCAATGTTCCCTCTAAACTGTGGAGTCTTGTGAGCAAAAATTCTATTTTGTGAGCTACTGGCATTAAAGTTGTGAGCAAGCAATCTGGCTACTGCATAAGTTAGTTCGCTCTGGAGCCCTCCTTCCTGAGCTAAGACAAAAATGTGTGAGCTGGAGGCTAAAAAATCTGTGGGCTAGCTCACACTAACTCAGCTTAGAGGGAACACTGCAGCCAAGCTATTATCATCGTTGCTGTCATCATAACCAACACATCTTTCTCTTCTTGCTCCAGGACATCCAAAAGAAGAGGCAGAACAAAGACCTGATTGAGCTGCAAGCCTTGATTGATAGTCACTTTGAAGGACGAAAGAAGGAAGAGGAGGAACTGTTGGCCCTCAAAGAGAGAATCGTGAGTCTCAGTAATGTGATCCCCACAACTGTGCCGTCTCCAGAATTATCCCTTCTCTTTGACAAAAAGAGGCTGAAAATGGAATTTTTAAGAGCGGCCACATCTTCATCATCATCATTTTGAGTGGATGCCATGCCACAGTATTTCAAGCATTCCTGTTTTGGATAGCGGGAGGGGTGGTGGTGAAATGTAATCCTCGAATTAGTTTTCAAGTAATGAACTCCAAGGAGCTGCGGTGGCTCAAGTGGTTAAGACGCTGAACTGCAGGCTGTGGAAGGTCAGTAGTTCAGCAGTTCGAGACCTGGGTGCCGCATGATGGAGTGAGCTCCCGTCTCTAGTTCCAGCTCCTGCCAGCCTAGCAGTTCGAAAGCAAGAAATTGCAAGTAGATAAATAGGTACCACTTCAGTGGGAAGGGAACAGCGTTCTGTGCGCCTTGGTGTTTAGTCATGCCGGCCACATGACCACGGAAACGTCTTCGGACAGCGCTGGCTCTTCGGCTTTGAAACGGAGATGAGCACCGCAACCCTGGAGTCGGATTCGACTGGCTTTCGAGCAAGGGAACCTTTACCTTTTTAATGAACTTCAACCCAGCTGAGTAGGAATGAATTCTGTGGTCTCATTTGCCTTCAGAGGCAGGTGATGTTTTAACATTCCATCTGATTAATTGCAAGTGTTCCCGAACAAATACCCCCCCCAAAAAAATGTATTACTCCACATCTGATGTAGGGTAAAAGTGGCACCTTCCTGCCACTTGCGAGATGCCCTAAGTGATCAAACTATCCCAAGTAAGATAGCTCACTACATCAAAAACGGGTCATCAGTTCAGACTCGTTAACTGATTTGTGGATTGGACTGTGCAGCGTCAAGGGTAATTTCTGCCATCGGATGATCAGACCGGGAGACCAATGGTCACCCGGTTACTGTAAATAGCCTATCGGGAGTAGGGGGTGTGTTTAGGTATGCTTGGTGGTGGGTTTTCTGAATGTATATAAACCGGCCTGCGAGCCGGTCAGTTGTCTTTGTCCTGAACTAAATAAAGGTATGCTTAGCTGATATCACTCTCCGTCTGCATACTTTTCACAGCACAAATACACTCATGTTACAACAGCTTATTGCTTCCTCTCCCCCCCCCCTCCGTGTTCAACGGATAGGAGAAGCGTAGAACCGAAAGGGCTGACCAGCAAAGAATCCGCGCCGAGAAGGAAAAAGAGCGCCAGGCCAGGCTTGCTGTAAGTCTGTCCACATTATGACACCTCATTGCCATGTACGAGCAGGGTGCATCATTCAGCTATGCAGAATGCTTTTGGCCAGGGCTATTTTTGGGCAGGAACACACAGGAACGGAGTTCCGGCTGGCTCCCAAGTTGGCCACGCCCAGCAGGAACTTATTAGCATAATAGGCCTTTTGCTACAGAGGGAAGACCTGGGGCGCGCCCCCCCCCCCCGGGACTCCAAGATGGGCGGGCCAGGGGGGTGCTGGAAGGATTGGGGAGGCATTAAAATGACTCCCTTTGCCTTCCCCGGCCTGTCCAAGGGCCTGCTTGCCCAGTCTCCCTGCAGCCACAGGGCACCCGGGCAAGCCAAGGGAAGGCATGGGGGTGTGGCCTAATATGCTAATGAGTTTCTGCTGTTGGGTGTGGCCTGTTAGGCTAATGAGTTCCTGCTGGGCTTTTTCTACAAAAAGAGCCCTGCTATTTTGGCCATTTTCTTAATGCCCTTTCCCCACTCTACAATCTAACCCCCCCCCCCAAAAAAAAATACTTTCAGGTTGGAGATTTTTTTTTATTTCACAATTTCTCTTGTCCATTTCACAGGAGGAGAAGGCAAGAAGGGAGGAAGAAGATGCCAAGAGAAGAGCAGAAGATGACATGAAGAAGAAGAAGGCTCTTTCTTCCATGGGTGCTACCTACAGCAGCTATTTGGCTAAGGTAAGTAAATATGCAGCTAGAATGAGGAAACTTGAATGTGGCAAGTGGAACACATCTGAAAAGTTGTATTTACCTAAAAGCTTATGAAACATATTACCACATCGAGCTAGAAAGACCTTCAGCTCTCAAGAAAAAAGCCAAGGAAGAAACTTAAGTTTCAAGGAACATCTCTTGGACTTTGTTTGTTTGTTTTTTTCTTGTATAGCCATCAGCAAGTTAAGCTTTGCGGACAATTTCCCGTGGTTTCCCATCATATGACAGTTGTGGCACGGGAGTCCCGCGGATTTTCTGGGCGTGATCTCACCTCAACATCTGGGAAGCGCAGTGCTCCCGTGGTGAACCCGTGGCTCCCCGCTGAAGGTGCGGAGTTAAAAACTAGTACCTATGAGGTACTAGTTTCCGGAAACCGCGGGGCAAGGGCGGGCGTCTGACCGCGTTTCCGGTGGACTTCCATGGCATCCGGCGCTCACCCATGTCCCGTCGCAAAGAAGGGGTTTCCCCCCCAAGTCTCCACAGATGCGCACAAGCACCCAACGGAGCATGCGCACAAACAGGAAGCGGCGTTTGCAACAAGAGCCGCGTGGCGCGAGTGCCGGTTTGAACGCACCGTGCTGCTTCTTTGCCGCGCTGCGGACTAGCCGTCTGATCTGCACCTGACGCCTACCCACGGGACCTCGAAAGGACTTCTGATCGGGCTGCCGCACGTTATTTTCCTCCGGGGCAATTAGCCACGCCTCTCCCCCACATTTTCCGGCCTGTGTGTCTGGGGCCCATGAACATTTAAGGTAGCAAACAGTCTAGCCTCTCTGAATGGCAAAAACTTCTTAAACAGAGTCACATCATTCTAAGCCCATTGACTTCAAGAGTGTAACCTTGTACTCTTGTTGATCTGGAAGCATCTACTGTACTTGGGAAGA